AAAAAAAAAAAAAAAGGTGGACTGGATTCAGTTATAAGAGGCCCGCTAATAATTGGGTCCAAACTAGCCAGTAGGAAAGGTTTGGAAGTAAAGTAGAATAAGAACTACATGTGGCCCAACTCATTCAAGGTTTCTCGTCAATACAAGCTTATTTCATTAGTGAGGTAACGTGACGTGCATTAGTGAGGTGAAAAAGTTGTCCAGTGAGGTGGATATTAAAGTGGAAAACAAATAGCAAAATTGTCCCTAATTATCACATTTTTTTTTTTTAATTTCAAGTTAATATACACGGGTTCTAAAAACCAGCCTACAAAAGTTGATATGGCGGAAGAGTAAACCAAAGATCGTGATATAGTTTGCACGAGAGCGAGTTTTATAAATCGGTGCACTAATTGAAAACAAACTGAAAATTGTGATATAATTTACAAAAGTGAAAAGATCGTGATTAAACAGTTATTTTGCAAAAAATCGTGATATTAATTCAATTTTATCAAAAGAAAAGGGTGGAAAACGTGCATTATCAAATTGAGGGTAAATTGTTCATCATTATATCAACACATCATACAAGTGTGTATATGATATGTATATAAATTAATAATTAATAATGAATTCTCATCCTATCCCAAATGAATCACGACTTTTGTTACACGCAATAGAATTTCTCGTGTTTCAGATATCGCACGTCTATTAATTACTAAAACTTCTGACTGCTTTAATTAATTAATATCTTTTATTTCTTAAGTAATAATACTCAACCTTATTATTATACGAGTTAAATGCATCTACAAGGTTTGATACGATATTCCTTAATAGTTTCTGAAAGCCACGTCATCAAACCTGGAAGACCAAGACAGGTGCCCCAATAAGAAGTTATAATGCAAATAATGTTACATAAAATACAAAGCATATTGGACCAAATTGGTTCTCACCTATGGTAAATCAAAGCAACAAACAAATATCTCACATATTTAAGTATCACAGATAGGCTAGTATGGTTAAGAAATGGTAAAGTAACTGAGACCATGGTTCTTCATGACAGTCAGAACAAATGTACACGTCTCAACTATGATTCTTTCAATACGACGCATAGTATAAACTAATAGTCAAGACAAGTTACATACCACTTTATAGTACAACCTAAACCAATAGTCATGTCCATAACTATTAAGTTGTAAATAACGTTCATATGAAATCGACATATAATCTTATGTGGGGCTACTAACACACTACATTGTCTAAAGTACAAGGTAACAGGACATTATAACAGGTAGCATAAAGAATGCAAAAATGTAAAAACGTTTATTTTAGCAAACAAGAAAATCAAATAAATACTTTCTAAAAACTCACATAAAAGTTTGTTGTACAGTATACCCAATATGATATTTATCAATTGGGTAATTGTACTGGAATTGATTAGTTACATAAGTCAATTCAAATATCTAATCGAGAAAAAAAAAATCTCGACATATGATTTTTTTTTCTATCCTATTTTCCCCCAAATAAAAAAAAACCCTCGCATCTCGTTGTCTTCTCTCTGTCGTTCTCTATACTCCGTCGTAGAGATCGGCACCGGCGTGGTTGACGAGTTTCCCATCCAATTTTCTCCCCCTTCCGGTGTGGCGCGTCTCCATTCATTTGGTGGCTTTCTGGTGGGTCCAACGACTGGGCGTCGAGCTCGCGACTGCCGGAGGCGTTCGCTACTTTGGTGGAGGATGGGGCTAAGACCTTATTCGTTTTTCTCCATTGGATTCTGACTGTCTCTGGTGCTGAGGTGGAAGGGTCCGACGGAGGGTGCTGCCTTCGCCTTGAGGGTGATAGCCATCGCCGGTTTTGTTTTGGGGTGCTTTAGGGCGCTCGTCTCCTAGTGTTGTTCCGGGGAGGCTCCTTTGGCAGTTGTTTTAGTTCTTTTCGTCAGGATAATTAGCTGTAGGTTAGAGTTTCTATATCTTTCGTGGGGGGTCGCCTTTGGGTGTTGGCTCAAGTGGTGGTATCTCAGAGCTTTTGCTGAGAGTTGAGGAGGACTTTATTCTAGTACGTAAGTGGTGTTAGTAGTTTGATTTTTTGGTGTGTTGTTTGGTAGTTTATTCACCTTTTTAGGAGTTAGAATAGAATTCTCTACTCGTGAGAATATTAGTATTATAGTTTCTTAGTCATGCGAGTGTGTCTTAGTGTAGTTGTTTCTAGACTACCGACGTTTTGTCGTGTAGACCTCACTTTGATTTGGTTGCATAGTTGTTTTAGTCGGCTGTTACTATTCAGAATTGTAAATATGTGTTTATTTATTAAATTTATTACTCTAAAAAAAATAAATCTAATCGAGAATAAATATTAAACGAAGATGTGCATTTTTTTAAAACAACTCATTCTTTATGTGAATGAAACATTGGATTTTTGTTTAAAAAAAAAAAATCTTGAGCATCTTAAGACATGTTAAATTTATTTTTATTTCATTTCCTTTTTTTTTAATTATATATAATTGGAGCAAAACATTTGCTCCCTATTTAAACTTGTAGACTTGTGTCTGAATAAATTCTATTTGCTCGCCACATTAAACTTACTTTTATAGGTTTTTATTAGATTATAAAAACGTCCTACACTTTTCTACTGCAAAAGATGAGCAAAATAACATTAACTTTCCATGCAAAGATACAGATCATGCGATTTAGAAAGAAATGTACAGATCGTGCGATTTGGAATGTCTCCCACTTGAATAAAGTTTTGAAGATTCCCCATCATTGTCTCTCTCCCATCTGCTGCTATCTCTAGTTTTAAACGATTTTTCACAATAATAGCTCGAAAAAGTTCGCTCTTAAAAAATCGACAGAAGAAGCCTCGTTTTCACTGGAGTTTGATGTACATTTTTTCTAAAAGTTCACGAGTTCTCTCATTGATCCAATTTTTTATCTATTTTGGGATGAAATATGTGTAATTGATGCATTGCCGAAGAAACTTAATTTAGATTGTTGAATGATTAAATGTGGAATTTCTGTGATATTTATTTGGTTTTGGTGACGTAACAAATAATAATATTAAACTTAAGTACCTAAATGACAAATATTTTGAGTGAGAATTATTAATTGGAGTAGCCTCAAAAGATGTGATAAGTACAAGTGGGTCTTTTGGTTTTCTTCATTAAGGAGAGAAGAATAAAAACCATAAGCCCTCATAACTCTCTCTATTCAGTTATTTTTCTTCGTACGTCAGAAGAGAGGAGAGAAACAACGCGGTCTATTGGAAGATTTCTAAATCTCAAAATTCTCAAATCCAATCTTGAGTTCTAAAGCAACCAATCAACATGAATTACGCTTCCGTTATTCAATTATGATTCTCGATTATTCGATATGAACGCTTTTGGGATTAAGCGATTTATTTCGCATAAGGTTAAATCCAATTACCTATCAGTCTCGATTTCCAAGCAAACTTAATTATTCTCAAATAATATTAATTTGTGTAAACAGAGAAGTTATTATACATGATATGTTGGATGTGATCAGATTGAAGCATTGCCTTCCCCATTGAGTTTTTCCATGGAAAGTGTGAAATATATTAGTAAAATAGTTCCCATGCTCGACCTGCAACACATACATGATGGCACAACTTATTTACATGAGTGCCTTGGTATTATAGTCAAGTAGCAACTGCAAAGATGAAATATGTCTATTTTTGAGAGAATATGAAATAATGGGAGACGTTAAGGTCCCGTTACGAGAATCGTTCCGTCAGGGTTTGTAACCGTTAGATCAACTATCCCCGACGGTTACATAATGATCTAACGGTTACAAACTTTCACGGAATGTACGTGACCGTAGTATTTCCATGAAATAATAGTCATTTTGCCTTATGTACAATGTCTCAATTACTCTTACTGCTAGGTAATTAAGTCATTGCACAGGGCAAAATGACTATTATTTCATTATTTCACTAAAAGTGCTACATAATATTATTATTATTATTATTATTATTATTAATCTCTAGAAAACGTTTTATGACAGTAAGGGTAATTGAGTCATTACACAGGGCAAAATGACTATTATTTCATTATTTCACTAAAAGTGCTACATAATATTATTATTATTATTATTATTATTATTATTATTATTATTATTATTGAGTCATTGTTTGGACTTACAGGGTTGCAAAAAGGAAGAGTATCCTCTTAGGGTCACAAATCCTCACCGGCTGAGCTCGCCGGAAACCGAACCTCCCACCGGTAGATTTTATGTCGGCGGCCGGGCTGCCGCCAGTGATGGTGATCTGATGATGGGAGAGGTTCGCGGCCCCAACTGCCACCACGCGTGGCTTTTCCGGCGTGCTACCGGCTGCAAATTTAATTTGTGCCAAACAGAATATATAAGAAAATATTTTTTACATAAAAAATTTATTAAACCATTCCTTAGTAGGCCGAAAGGCGTGCCACGGCCCAGGATTGAATGCATGGGCCGAAAGTAGTAAAATATGAGAGAGCCTATAAAGTAAAGTAAAGTGAGTGCGTATGTTAGTGGCTGCCTATAAAAAATTATAGTTGATGATTTTTTTTTTCTTTTCTAAAAAAATAATTTTTCTAAGTTAGTATATTTAATTTTTATAAGAAATAATTTATTGCACATATTTTAAATATATTAATTTAGTAGAAAAAAAAAAAATCAAATTAAACAGTTTCTGCTACATCTCACAATACATAATTCACTGATTTTCTTAATTTTAGGAAAAAAAAAAAAACAATTTCAACTAAAACATCAAATATAATAACACTAATTTATTCATTATATTAATATAAATTAATATATTTAAATTGAATTGTCATACATATTCAAACATTATAAATAAGAATATAATATTTTATAATAAAAAATTGAAATAAATTATTCGGCTGGCTCACACCAATTTTTAATATTAATTTTTTTTTTTTTAAATTGAAGTCAACTTTTTGGCCTTTACAGCCAAAATGGAATAATTGCTATAACCCCTCTGGAAGGCCTATTCTCAATCTATACAAAATTATCACCTATGTTAATGGAGAGGAGTTGGATTCCATGTGAAAAAATTACTACTCTTTTAAGAGTTACAAAGACCAATAGACTCAATCTATAGCTTCTCACAAAAATGCATGTCAATTATTTGATTCAACCCGATTACAACTACAATTATATAACCATAACATATACGTATTAACACGCGTTCAACGTGTATTTATTGCAAGACACGTGTCGATACACTATTTGTGGATAATTATGGATGGTTTCATAAATCGAGTCATCCGATGACTTCGTAGCAAAACCGTTTTCTGAAAATGACTTCCCTTTTGGATTGGTCTGCCATCAAACTATTTAATTGACTTTTCTTTGGATAGCTCTTTAATTTAGCATCAAATTAATAATAATAATAAAAAAAATGGTGACAAATACATTCAATATAAGTGAAAGGGACTAGAAGATTCTTCTGTTTTGTTGGGGGCAAAAGGTATTTCTTCCTCAATTTAATTATTAATTTAACCTTTTTTTAATATGTCCATTTTGTTTGTACGTAGTCTTGCACGTTCGAACATAATTATGTATAGTGCTATAGGGGGCATGTCTATAGCAAAATGGTAGAAGCCAGCCAAAATTGTGTGTGCGCCCATAAAAAAACTTTTTTTAAGTCACAATTTAAAAATCAACTTTGTCACTATCAATTTATAACTAAATTGTCCAATTTGATGATGTACAATTTTAGCTGGAAATATAAATTTTGATAATAATAATAATAATAATAATAATAATAATAATAATAATAGATAATAGATAAAAAATTTAATGGAAAATCTCTCCCTATATATTAATTCAAAACGCGTTAAGTTTAAGTGACAGATTTTCAAGTTTCGAATGCTGACATGGCGAAAATCTATATTTCGTGATGTTTTTACTTTTTTTTTTTTCTTAAATAACTTTTATTATATATTTATTAACTCAACACCCGTGTTGCATGTACACGGTCTAGCTGGATTGATAGGCAAAAATCGAATTTAATTGTCCGGAAATTAACATGCCATGGGCATGCATCCCATAAAAGTTTGATCCAATATCCTTTATAAATTGGTCAATTTAATTGAATTTTAATAAACTATTTTTAATATACCACAAAGTTACGAAAATAATTTTATATTTTTCTGATTGAACAAAGTATAGTATAGTGTCTCATGAAAACAGATGTGACTAACCAAGAACAAAACCTTAACAACTTTTTGTGACATGGATATGTTACAAGTTTCATAACCTTGTCTCTTATATAGTGAAAATATTAAGAACAGATGCAATTATAATTAGGGGTTATGTTAGGCATTCTTTGTTGTTTTGAGTAGAAATTATGTGGAGCCAGTTTTTATTTTCTTCTATTTTTGTAGAGAATATAATGAGTTGTTCTCATAATTGAATTAATGGTACAACTTTAATGAAAGTGAATTTATGTATTTAATTGATTATAATGTTCTAATATTAAAAAGACCTCAATTTGTGATGTTTGACTTGATAATAAGTTATGTTAGAACATGAAAAATGTCAGTACGATTAAGATTGTAAATCTTCTCATATGAATATTACTACATGTTCCTCTCTCTATACTAGTATGAAAATAAAGTTATCAACATCAATGGCTCTATGAAAAGATGAGGAACGCGTGTAAGAGAAACATATTATAGAAAAATACTAAAAAAAATTGTGCTATATTAAACAAGAATCCAACGGTAATATACTCAATGGATATTCCAAAACGAATACTTCGATGGTATAAGTTCCATTGGAATGAGTTTTTCATTGAAATTTTAGTTGGAATTTGATGATTAAAACGGTCATTTTTTCAACAGTTTATTACCTTAAGAATTTTTGTTGGAATATACAATTTAGATTGAAATGTTTATTTCCACTCATATTTCAAGTGTTGGAAAATCTCCTGTTGGATTCCTTAAAATCCAACAGAAATTACAAGGGAAAACACATTCCAATGAGATTTTTCATCGGAATTTTCGATAAAATCAACTGAAAGATTCCAACGAAAATAATAGTATTGGAATATTCATAGAATTTGCTGTTGGAATTCCACTGAAATACATTTCTGTTGGAATTTCATTATTTTTCATATTGAAAAACGAGCAATTCATAGACAGAGACGAGCATTACTTGAAGTAAGACAGATTGTGGATTTGGAAGACTAATAGTGTTATATATGTGCAATTTAAGAATATGCCCGTTAAATTTCTTATAACCAACGGGAGTCATCCATTGATTGATGTATCAATACTTGTACCAAATGTACTTATTTTAAAACTGAGATTAAATATAAATAAAAAAAAAAAGGAACAAAAAAAATCAGTTACCTTTTGGTGAAGTTGTGACAGTCTCTCTATTGTCATCCTTTATTTTCATGTCTCCATTTTTGAATGATCCTTTTCTTGAAATATTCCTCTGCAACTTTTTTATATCCACCAAAAAGACTTATTAATAAAGAAATATATATATATATATATATATATAATATTAATATATTCCCTTTTCTTTTTTTCCTCTTTTTGTTTTTGTTGACAATTCACCATTTTTTTTTGTACAGGGACCTTCCGGTTTCTGGATACACAGGAGAACCGACTAATCCGAAATAGAAAGACGTAAATAAACCCAAAAAGAAAAAAGAAGACACGAAAAAGCCATTGTCTGTGGCTGAAAGAAATTAATTATGGGAATTACGAAAAAATAAATAAATAAAGTACGCACTTTTCCAATAATTAATCATGCTTATTATTAGGGAAACTACATTATTTTATCACTAAATAAATAATAATATGTTTTTTTCCCATCAAAACAGACCATATATTATGTACAACATATAAAAACTTACTGTAATTCTTGAATTTCTATTATTGTTGATGTCTTTTTCCATGAGATGTGAAAATCTCTCCATGTCCACAACACAGCTATCGGACTTACCGCAGCTCGTCTGATCGGAAAACGATACTTTCCGATCAATAATTTTCTCTATCGTTTTTTCATCTTTTAAATTCAGGCTCCGATTATCAGAATACATGATCATATCCCCCTGAAAATAAAATAATCATAAAAAAAAAAATTCATATTACGTAAACTTGAATTATATGATTAACTGTAAATTAGAAATACAGCCAAGAAAATGTGTTTAAAGAAAAAGGTCACGTACCATAATTTTTTTTTTTAAAGTACAAAAGAAATATAAATAATTTACAGAGTCTGAGCTTTTTTATTATTTATTTTTTTAATTT